TCGGCTATATCTCGAGACCCTGGTCACTCAGAGATCTAAAAAATACTCTGTATTAAAGCACTCATCAGTAGCTTTGATTTGATACCCACAATGTAAAAACACATCCTAGGGTTACCCGGGTCCTCGTGCAGCGCCACCTGGTGGCGAGTGGAATCAATAAGCATATTATACTAACCTTCTCCGTGGAAAAAATATATATATATACCAAATTTCATAATAATCGGCCCAGACACACACGACCAAAATGTATTCAATTCTAATGAATGCTATGTGCGGTACAAAAAATACGTGCGGCAAATAGCAAAAACACACTCACTTAACCGACGCACCGCACACACACGCGTTATCGGATTTCAACCAAACTTCACAGAAACCTTTGCCAAAGCAACACCAACAATGTGTGAAACTTTCATTGTGTTCCTTACACGCGTTGCTGAGATTACCACGGACAAACGCACACTTTTTTTCGGCTTAATTTTTATATATATAGATATACTTCAACTTGTGAATAATACATTGCAACGCAGTTAATATACAAATGATGAGAATAAATACAGTAACAAAAAATGGAATAAAAACAACACTAGCTGCTTTGTGATTTAATTTACTTATATTTTATCAAATAATTTTCCATACTACAACAAAACCGCATACTATACATACATCAGAGTTCCAAATTTGATCAAAAACTTAGGAAAATTCAACACTTTCGTCAATATACATTCATAATCACTTTTTAATAAGATTTTTTAGAAAAATTTTAAGGATGCAGTTATGTAGCCCATTGAATTTTTGTAAGGCAAAGCGCAAATTTCAAAAATTTGAGAATTACTTTGATTTCTGGTAATTTTTGGTTGAAGGTTTCTTCTCTAAAAAGCATCGTATATACTTACAAGTATGGAATCCTATGCCCCTTTTTGTCTATTCTCTTTCTGACAACGGATGTGCCTGCAAAACTGAAAAGCTTGATGGCGGCAGTGTTTGACAGGCACGTTCGACGATGCGAACGGCATGGGAAGGAAAGAAATGGAAGATGGATGACACGGCAAAGAAATAATTATGAAATAGCAGAATGTCGAAGCAAAAACGAATTTGAAAAATGTGACTATGCGAATGACGTTAAAATAGAAGAAATGTAAAATAGCGAAATGGCGAAACAGAAGAAATAGATGACAGGCACGTATACGGCACGGGTTTCGTGCAACAAGAAGTGTTGCTGTGTTGCGCCATTGAATATTTAAAAACTTTTTAATGTGGTTAAATTTACTCATACGCTTTTTTACTTAGTCGACAAAACTACATATTTCCAGCCAGCCAAGATTCATTTATAAAAACGGTATATGCTAATGGCCTTATTTATAAAAAATAAAATAGATTTATATAGCTCTGTACAGAGACATTTTTATAACAAATTCGATTTCTTAATTTTTGATGAATTTGGGTAAACTATTAACTTTGTGTCCACTCCGTTCCTGTTTCTTACTTTTCAAAATTTTATTTTCTTTAATAGCCCTTTGACTGAGTTACACCCAGCAAAAATCAAAATATTTTATAAGAAATGTATTGACCTTTTTACAACGGCATTCAAGGCCTTCTTCTCACACTTCAGTGATGCTTTTTTATTGTAGGTATTATTCTGTTAACATCTAAATTTTTATACATTTAATTACATTACCCATACATTGTTTTCCGGCGTTTCCTCTGTGAACTTTTTTTACTATATTCATAAAAAAATTACTAATTTAGGTTTCATTTCTCATCTTGGACTGATACATATGTATGTATGTAAAAGGCATTTAAAAACATTATGTGCCCAATATGAACGATGCAGCGAGCAAAGGTGGCACCGTCAGACATACTGCTACTTTGAGTTTGTCGATTTTGATAATTCTGATCTAAAGTAAACGATGCATCAGAAACTTTAAATGAACGTAAATTCACTTATACTTCCACTAAAATTACCGTTTTTTTTACATTTTCCTTATTAATTGTCATTGTTGTCATTGTAAATCATATATTTTTAGAATTTAGCACAATTAAAACCCGTTTACTATCCAAAAATTTATTATTGAGAAAATTGGCTGCTCTGACATTTTCTTTTAACATGCAATTCGACTTTTTTACAGAAATATCATCGCCACTAGGACGGCGTAATCTTGTATTCTTTCTTGTCAAACATGCATTTTGATGTAACTGCTATTAAGTTTTAAATACTCATTAAAATCGTTTCAATTCGTAATAAAAATACATTACATACTTAATATAAACTAGCATTTTTAATTCTAAAATAAATCAATAATCACAAGTATTATAAAAATTTCTCTTCAAAAGATACGTTGCAAAACATCCCTGTTGATGTCATAATTCAAATACAAATTTGAATAGAAATTTTGATGTAAACGATTTTCCGCGATATTCATCATACAAATTTCTTTATTCTTAATTTTCTTACACGCAAATTTACTCATTACTTTAAGTGGCTTTAATCTTTTTATTTTAGTAAAAAATAATATAAACATGTTGCTCTTTCCAGCTGCAATAGCTTCAATACACGAACAAAATTGTGAATACCCAGTGCCCAGCTTAGAATAAGAAAAGTACCATTTTGCCTCCCACATGTTTCCGTCTGGCCTCCTGATGATCCATAATGCCTCCGGAGGCAGTCAACACAACGTAACCAAATTGAAGAGAAGGCAGCAAGTTGTTGGTCCACTTCCAACCAATCCAACCAATTTATGCGATTTAATGGGCCCCATGCATAAAAAATGAGTCTAAGCTCAGACTAAAATTTTGCACTGAAGGGGTGAGCTCAAGCTCAAGAATTTGTACTGAAAATCGAGTTGGAGCTTAAACTCACTGTTTATGCATGAGGCCCAATATCTTTACTGCTTCCTTGTGGTGCGTCATTTGATGTTCGCCAATCTTTACTTTACCAAAAGTGTCCGCGCCGAGCATAAATCATGCGTGCCGAGTGTTGCGCCCAGTAATTACATAGCGGCATATTTTTACGAGTGAATGTGGGCCACTGCCAGTAGCTGCAGCTGCGGCGGCACGTGATTGTGGCATAATGTTGATGTACAATTAGAATTGGATATCTAGAACTGCGTAAGTTTGAAGCATAAAATAAAAAAAGGTTTGGTAAGGTTTTTCGGGCCGCTGCTTAGGCCACAATCGCAAATGCACCCACACGAGCGTATGTGCTGCGTAGAGACGTAAATTATAGTTTTTCCTGAGCTCCAGTTTCTTATCGCACTATTATTTTCCTTATGACTTATAATTCTCTGCCACGATTTGCGCTGCTCGGGCCACGTCTGCTTGTACAAGAAAATAACGCATTTGTTCAAACGACCGGTCAAGTTTACTACAATTTTGCCGAAACGATGATCATCTCACTTGTCCGTAAATGCAAATCTACCTAACTTTTCCAACGGCAGGAACGAATATGATGTTCTAAACAGAAACAATGACAACGAGTTTCACACTCGTTGTTGTATTTTAGCGGAAAACTATAAGTTTTACAAATATTTCAAATTATTGCCTGGAACATGCACATTTATCGTTCATATTGGAAATGCAAGACCTGGCATGTATGTATTTTATATTTCTTATTGAATCAATTCAAAAGAATATGAACACATTTTTCTAGAAAATTTCGCAATTTACATTTCAAAGTTTTTTCTGAAACTTGGATGCAACTCTGTGCTGAGAATGGGAGACTTACAAATTAGGTGATCTCAGCTTTTTTCAAATGTAAACAAACAAAATGGCGCTTTCCATACTTTTAAGCCTATGCAATGCTAAAAAGTTCTCTCTAACAGTATTAATGAATAGACAGTTGACAATGCCTATAAGAAATATTTTCTTACTTTGAAACTACAGTAGAAGCATTTAGTCGTACAGTGACTTTGGTTTCAGTTATTTAATGTTAATTTATAAAAATTTTACTGCCAAACACGCTTCGTCTATTTGGAAAAATAATTAAAAATAATCATATAATTAGCATTAATCACATAATTGAAGATAATCAAATAACTAAAAACAGTCAAATAATTAAAAACAATAAAAAAATAATCAAACAATTACATATAATCAAATAATTAAAAACACAATTTGATTAATTTTGATTACTTCTAATTACTTGATTATTTTTTTAATGGAAATTAATCGTGGTAATTTTTTATAATTGTTAATTATAATTAATTATTAATGGCTGGGTTAGGTAAGAACTTTAAAATAATCATTAAAATTAAAAAATGCAAAAAATATATGATTACTAATCGTAATGGAAATTTAACAGCCCTGGGCCAAATATAGTACAACTGCTGTTTTAGTTTTAGGATTCTTTAAACGACTTTTTAAGTTCAAAGATATGACTAATTCCAAAAATTATTTTAAAATTTCAGTGCAATGTAGAATAAAAATTAAATTTTGTTGGGTTCGCAAGGACGAATAGGTATAGAAAATGGCAATCTACTCAATTAAATTTTTTTAAGCTAATGACGTTAGAAGGACGATATTCGCGGATGTTGTCGAGTTTATTTAGTCCTTAGGATAAAATTTTTTTACAACAAAATGTTGCAAAATTTCAAGGATATTCAAGGATAAAGTTTTAAAAACACATTTTCAATACCTAAATGTCCACCAAAAAAAATTTTAAAAATTGTGACGTCAGAGAGAAAACCTAAAAAAGCAATTTTACTATATCTCGCCCATGGTTTCGCGAATATATTGCTTTTTTAATATGTTATACGATGTGCGATGTTATATGTATAATGGGCTAGACATTTATAAAAAATATTAATATTAAGTAAACAAAGATAATATGGCCAAAACTGGTCAACATAAGGCGTTTCTATTATTGTCACCATTGTTAGCATTGCTTCTTCATTTAAAAGATTTAGTTTTGAATATCTGTAATTCTGCATCAGAAACTAAATTTCGAAAAAGGGTACCAAACTCCTTTGAATCCCTAGGTAAGAATATGGTAGATAAGTAATTACCTGGTGAGTTAAAAATAAAGCCAATTGCATGATTATATTACGCGAAGACAGGCGACCCCCTATATTTTTTCCACAATCAACTTTAACGGGCCCCAAAGGATAGTTTGATGACAGCGTAATTGTAAGCTCCGTTCGAACGTCATCTACAAAATATACTGCTAATACTTCCCTTGTTGACAAATGTACTGTGACCTACAAATTTCAAATTAAATAGTGTATAAGTTATAAAAACCATATTATGAAGTATGGCAAAAAAAGGAGTAATGCTTACTTGCATATTTTCATGCTTTTCCTTATTCGTATAAATAGATTTTAACTCTTCATCGCAAATTAAAGGTGAAACAAAGTTGGTCGTAAGTTTATCCAAGAACGATTTTTTTCGAGATGGTAAAATATTCCACCACTTACGAACAACTGCAGGTAGTTTTTTCAAAACTTCTGTATATAAATGGCAAGCATACCTTCCAAGAGTTAAGTTGTCATCTAAAAAATCAACCAAATGTCAGCAAAATTAAAAACATTTATTTCAATTAAGTTTGATATCTAAGAAATAAAAAATGTATTCAACATTCAATAAAATTCCAAGTGTAATTGAAATTCAACATGAACCAGCTAAACAATTGACCGTCTCCAAGGAATTAGAGGCCGCCAAAGGTTTGCTGAATCAACGGAAAACGCAATGCACATCACTAGAGCTGCAATATAAAAGGTCAAAGCGCACATCACTTTTATACGGATACAAATTTTTTAGTATTTGCCCGCAGTATAATCCACAATATATATGTAGACATACAGGTAACGTAATAATTGATCGCGATGTGCTTACTAAGGAAGAACACATTTGCTACTTATCCACTCCGCGTGTAAACCTTGCCGCTCTACGCAAAAGGCCTAGATATTTTCAGAAAAGAGTTGTTGTGCCAAACTGCACGACGCGCGTAGAGCAATTAGCGTTGCCGGACTTGAAACGAGTTCGTTGGACTTTAGAAATATATAAAAGTACACTTACAAAACGTCAGATAAAATCATTAAAACATCATTTGCATCAAGGATCAAAGGTGATGTCTTATAATATAAATACCGCACTTTCTTACATTGAAGAAGAAAGGCGTTTAAATAGAGTCGCCAAGTTATTGCGAAGGCGACAATGTCGCAAGTTGAAAAGACACGTTCTTCGAAAGCAGCAACGGCAAATAAGAAAAATTATTTGTGTACTTTTCGAGGAAATGAGAAATTTTTTACTTAACGATCAGTTTTTAAAAGATGAACGCTCCACACTTCGCGGAGTAATCATGGAACAAATTCGAAATTTTACTAGTAAGTGCAAGTTGCTGTGGTTACGTTTAAATTTTTGAAAAAATTTGTTTATTTGATTCTAATAATATGTTTCGAATTGTAGATAACGAGTTTTATACCACAAGTAATCTGCGGGAATATCAGCAAATTCTTGCAAATAATCTAACAGTTTGGATTAATAAGTTTATAT